GCTTGTCTGAGAACTTTGCTGGAATAATTGTGGGAAATGGTATGTACTACTTCCTCCTCTGCCCCAAGATCTCAGACAAACACTAGACTGAGTAGTGATTGGGTAATCTAAGAAGATACTGCAGTGGATCATTTTTATAGCACAAGATCACAAATTCAAAGCTCAGGGAAGTGACCAGGACAGGGACTGTGGAACCGAGTGGGCTGGGATCACTGATTCAGTTTGCAAAGCTCCAAACAGGTAGTGGAGAAGAGTGAACCAGACAGAAGGCTCATCCCTGGATCAAAAAGAGAGCTAAATGCCAGTAGAAAGGGCCACTCAGCACAGTTATCCCAGAGAGAGCTGAGACAACCCAGAAAACAGAGCCAGAGGATCCCAGGCTCAGCCCTGCACTCATACTAGCAAGTAGAGAGGGACTAGATCTGGGACTCAACCCCAAGAGTTCCAAAAAGGTTTAGGCCAGCACTCCTAGAGTGGACTGAGGACTCAGCTCTCAGCCCAGAAAAGGGGAAGATCAGCAGTTTAGTTACTCTGGACTTGCTTAGTCTTTCGCTAAGTGACAGAAACTGGGGCCAGTTACTGGCTACTGGGGCACCACCCAGTGGACACCTTGAAAACAAAGATTTTTTTTTTAATTCTGTACACTATATTTCAAGAAACCATCCATGACCAGGAAGGTTTTATACCAGGAACAAAGGTTAAATATTAGAAAAATAAATATTAGGAAAACAAAAAAACATAATTGACTATACTAATTACAAGAACAACAAAAATCATATGATTATATCACTAGGTACAGAAAAAACTTTTGACAATGAACAACACCATTTCTGTTTAAAACACACACACATACAACAAAAACACACACACATATGAAAACAAACATAGTAATAAGTCATATATTTCTCAGGCAAAAGACAGAATTAGGTATTATAGGAATAAATGTCCTGTCCAATAAAATCAGGGATAAAGCAAGGATGCCCATTGTCACCAGTAATACTTAATATAGTGCTAGAAATGTTAGTTGTAGCAGTAAGACAAGAAAAATCAATTGAGAGAATAAGCATAGGCAAAGAAGAAACAAAATTGTTGGGTTTTGTAGATGATATGATAGTCTTACTTATACTTAGAGATACTTAGTGAATCTTAGAGAATAAACTAAAAATTAATTGAAACAATGAATACTGTTAGGAAATCTGCAAGGAATAAAATAAATCTACATAAACCTTCAGGATTTCTATATATTACCAACAATACTCAGCAGAAAGAAATAGGAAGAGAAATTCCATTTAAAATAAGTATAGAATGTATAAATCTACTCACTAATTTACAAATGGGAACTATAGAAATATGACTATGAAAAAATCATTATAGAAAAAAGGCAGATCTAAATAACTAGAAAAACATTAATTGCTCATGAGAACAAACCAATATAGTAAAATGGAAATACTGTCTATCTACATATATACATATATATGTATGTATTGCTTATTTAATGCCATATCGAACTACCAAAGGATAACTTCTTAGGACTAGAAAAAAGGATGAAAATCATCTGGAGGAACAAAAGGTCAAACATTTTAAGGGGAAATCATGAAAAAAAGGAAAAGAAGGAGACATAGCAGTACCAGATCTGAAACCACATAGTACAAATCATCAAAACAAATCAGTACTACTTAAGAAATAGACAAGTTGGCCAGTGGAAACACTTTGGGTACTTAATATGGAGAAGCAAATAAACTTAGTAGCCTAGAGTTTAATAGTGTATGACTAACCAAATTCCAGGCTTCTGGGATAAGAACTCCCCCTTCAACTAAAACTAGTGGGAAAATTTGAAAGTGGTCTGATAGAAACTAGGTATAGACCAACATTTCCCATGATATACCAAAATAAACTACATAGATAAATGTCTTAGACATTAGGAGAAACATCATAAACAAATTAGAAGAGCAAGGAAGAAATTATCTTTCAGGTGAATAGTGAATATTCAGAAGAATAGTTTATAAACAAACAACAGATAAAGGAAATCTGCCTTCTCTATTTAGAAGACCAGATCCTGGGATTCCCAAATTTGGGGCTGCTAGTGGGGCAATCCTCAGGAGCTCACAATTTGGTCATATAGTTCTTTTCTTTATAGTTATCATATGGTTGAGAGGTTATGATGCTGTTTCCCCAAAGCTTGGAGTCAAGAACTTGACTTTGCTCAGGAATTCTGTTCTGGGGCCATTAGGTGAAGCACCTGGAGCTCCTATGTACATCTACCTCAAGGCCCTAATTAACAGGGGAGTGATGTGATGGGGACACTCTGCTCTAAAACCTACTGTATCCTCAGAATCTCTCCAGGAGAAAAGTAAAATCTGTCAACTTCTTTTTGTAGGAAACTTCAAAGAGTTCTTTCCTCCCACTTTTCTTTTCCATAATAGTTGGTGCCAACAAATTAATGAGCTTATAGGATTGTAGGATGAGAGATCTAGAGCTGATTTTGGTGGCAGCCTCATAGTGAAATCTATCTGGGGCAGCTCCAAGCCAATGAATTCATCTTCACTGAGACTTAATGGAGAGATGAGATCTACATTGTCAACCATGGTCAATGTATTGGTTTGTTTTGCTTACTGATACTTCTTCGTTATGAGGGACAATTCTATCCAGAGAAGTAGGGATTGGGAAGTGACAGCATTGTAAAAAAAAAAAATTTTAAATCAAGGCTGGAGAAGAAATGTTTCACATTTCTTTGACTGAAGGACTAAAAAGGTCAGTTCTGATTGCTAGTGTTCAAGCATATAACCCTTTTTTAAAGACTGCTATTGTCAAAAGAATAAGCAATAAAGGGCCCAGCAGTACGATGCTAATATTTAAAGATCAACTACTGATTACATTTAGCACAGGATGCTGTAGGACATACACATTTATGAGAATCTAGCAGTGGTCTAACACAACAGTGAACATGAAGGTGGTCAATAATTTCTTGCTAATTGATTTATCAGTCAAGAAAAATCCTCTTAAGTATTTGACTTTATTGATTGTTTCTGATACTTTTTTTTACATTGTTATGAGCTTAAAGTCATTGATTTGTAACAAGAACTAGTTTTGGAAGCCTGAGCCCTTGCTTGCTACTTACATCATAAATTCGATAGGTAGGTAGGTAGATAGATAGATAGATAGATAGATAGATAGATAGATAGATATAGATAGATAGGGAGATAGATAGGTAGGTAGGTAGAGATAGAGATATATTTAGAAATAAGTGCTAATAACAGTAGTTGAATGCCCAAAGGGCTATAAAAATGTGCATACCCTTTGACCCAGCAATAGCACTTCGAGGGCTATATCCCAAAGAGATCATACAAATGGAAAAAGGACCCATATGTACAAAAATATTCATAGCAGCTCTTTTTGTGGTGGCAAAGAATTGGAAATTGAGAGGATGCCCATCAATTGGGGAATGGCTGAGCAAGTTGTGGAATATGAATGTAATGGAATACTATTGTGCTATAAGAAATGATGAACAGGCTGACTTCAGAAAAACCTGGAAAGATTTGTATGGTCTGATGCTGAGTGAAATGAACAGAACCAAGAGAACATTGTACACAATAACAGCCACATTGTGCGATGACTAATATTGATAAACTTAACCCTTCCCAGCAATACAAGGATCTAAGACATCTCCAGAGGCCTCGTGATGGAGAATGCTACCCACATCCAAAGAAAGAACTATGAAAGTTGAATTGCTATTTTTTTTCTCTTCTGTTGAGTTTTGCTTCCTCTTTCTGATGGTTCCTCGCATTGGTTTTAATTTTTACTTACAACACCACTAATGTGAAAATATGTTTAATAGTAATGTAAATGTATAGTCTATATCAGATTGTGCCCCGTCTTGGGGAAGGGAGTGGGGAGGAAGGGGGAGAAAAATTTTTAACTCAAAAGCATATGGAAGTGATTATTGATAAATCAAAATAAATTAATAGAAATTATTAGAAAAGAAAAGTAGTTGAATCCTCAGGTTCAATCCACTAACTAAATCAACTAAGTGCCATCAAAGTTTTCATAGTATTTACTAGAGTATCTGATTCTATTCTAACATGTCACTCAAGGGAAGAGGGATCAGGCATGTTGGCACATGCTTGTAATCCCTAATGTTAGAGTCTGAGGCTGGTAGATCACTTGAGCTCAGGAGTTCTGAAATGCACTAGAACTAAAGCTGATTGGGTGTCCTCACTAATTTTGGCATTAATGTGATGAATCTCTAATGGGGATAAGGATGGAGACAGGGAGGCACCACCACACTAGTTAAGGAAGAGTGAATCAGCCAGCCCAGGTCAAAAAAGGAGCAAGTCAAGTTTTAGTGCCAATCAGTAGTAAGACTGGGCCCATGAATAGCCACTGCCCTTGGATTTCCAGAGACAGAGACAGACAGAGAGACAGAGACAGAAACAGAGCCAAAGAGACAGAGAGATAGAGATAGAGAAGCACTGAACCAAAAATGTGGGTCAGTCTTACTACTGGCTGCTATAGGACAGTATTTCCCAAACTAATTTGACCAGGGAACATTTGGGGTCTTGAAATTTCTTGATAGAACCCACAAATTTTAATAAAGAGAGAATGGGAAGGAAGTATAATGCTCCCAAGAAAAAACAGAGCATTTGAAAATTTTAGAACAAAATAGAGGCAATTGAGCTTATTTTACTGATTAAAATTAGCTATATATAAAATACATGTTTCATAAGTTTACAATTTCATATGTAATATGGTAATAATATCACTAGCTTTGAAATTCTCTTACAAAATCCCTATTTTCAGGCAGAACCTCAGGGTTCCATGGAATAGTTTGGGAAATCTTGCTCTAGGACATAGTTCATCAGTGGGTTATAGTGTCTTGGAGAGAAGTTAAAAATTACCAGAAATTATTGTGTTGACAGCGGGAACTATGACAGTACACCAAATGGCCAACAGATGTGGAAGACACCAAGGTCATCCTTTGTATCCCAGGCCATCTCCAGTCATCTTGACTTTTATCTTGCCACTGGATTTTGATAACTCTGGAAGAGAGAAGGAGGCTGATGACTTAGTGTAACTCTGCCTCAAATCCAATTCATGAATGAATCAAGACATCACCCATGATGTTTTTGGTCCTCTTCAAAAATGAAGGACAAACAACAACAGTTGGCTAGATATCTTTTTCCCAGTTTATGAATACAAAGTTATCAGATAATATACATATTCATTCTTAGTATTATTTGCAAAGCAAATGCAAGAATCATTTGTATTACGGAAGTAAGTTGCCCCCCCCCATTACATTTTAAGTTGTTCCTCGGTGTTACCTGGGAGTTATGGAGTAGTCTTATATGAATTCCTAAATGCCATCCAATTTCTTCTCATCCAAAATCTTCCTCAGGCTGAGTGGCTGGCTCCTATTTGATACTAGATACAAAGGCCTTGACAACCTGACCCCTTCTGATCTTTCTAGTTTTCTTATACTTAACTACTCTGCATGTACTCTACAGTCTAGCCATACTGGCCACCTTGCAATTTCTCCAACATAATGTTCCATGTCTCATCTCTGTTGTTTTGCACTGTCCTATCACGCCTCGAATTCTCTGCCCCTTATTTTTATGTCTTAGTTTCTCTGGCTTCCTTCAAGACTCAGAAGTCTTACCTTCTGTAAGACAGCTTTCTTAGTCCCTTCCCCCACTACCAGATTATCTTCTATCTACTTGGTATATATGTACTAAGTTATTTACATGTTTTCTTTCCCTTTAAAATTTAAGTTCCTTGAGGGTAAGAACCATTTTTACCTTCCTTTGTTTCCTCAGAGCTTAGCATAGTGTCTGGAATATAGTAGACGTTTTAAAAATGCTTGTTGAGCAGCATGATTTCAGAAAAACCTGGAAAGACTTACATGAATTGATACATAGTGAAGTGAGGAGAACCAGGAGAACATTGTACACAGTAACAGCAATATTGTACGATGAAGAACTTGTGAATGACTTAGATACTCTCAGCAATATAATCATCCAAGACAATCCCAAAGGATTCATGATGAAAAATGCCATCCACCTCCAGAGAAAGGACTGATACTATCTGAATACATACTGAAGCACGCTATTTTTCACTTTCTTTCTTTCTTGGTTTGAGTCTTCTTGCACAAAATGACTACTATGGAAATGTTTTACATGATTGCACATGTATAACCTATATCAGATTGCTTACCATCTCAGGAAGGGAGGAGAGAAAAGAAGAAGAGATAGAATTTGGAACTCAAAACTTCAAAAGAAATGTTAAAAATTCTTTTCGTATGTAATTGGGGGGGGGATAAATACTATTTAAAAGTTTAAAAATAGGGGTAGCTAGGTGGTGAGTGGATAGAGCTCTGGCCTTGGAGGACCTGAGTTCAAACCCAGTCTCAGACACCTAGCATTTACCAGCTATGTGTCCCTGGACAAGTCACTTAACCCTGACTGCCACACCAAAAAGCAAAAAAAAAAATTAAAATTAAAATGCTTATTGACTAATTGACAGTAGGATATTTTGTATACATGAGACTCATCAAATAGAATAACAAACTTCAGGATATTCAGCAACATTCAAATAACTGAATTTTTTGCATATATTTGGACATTTTGTATAGTGAGAACATAGACACAGAAATGGAGTTCAGAGTAGCAACAATGAATTGCCACTCCGGAAATTTCTGCCTACTACACGGTTATAGGTGACTCTGGACAGATTAAAATACATCCAGGTATCTAGCTCTCTCTAGTTTTGGGTTCTATGGACCTCTTGATTACAGCATTATTAAATCAGATTAAGTTCATTCTTTTCAATAATGTTGGTCTAAATATATTTCACATGAAATTAAAATGTCTACATTCTTCAGAGAGCTAGCTATCCAGGAATGCATTAAGAATCCATATACTTGGTAGTCATCAGTTTCCTCACTTATAAAATTGAGAGGTTGAATTTAATGATCTCTAAAGCTTATTATAATTCTATAATTGGATCAAGAAGAGTTTTCTTTTTTCTCCTAGAGCAGGATAGGATGACTTGAGTAGCTATTTGCTAGTCCACAAAATAAAGAAATCTATGTGAGCTCTATATTGGAGCTATGTTCATTGCATCCCTTATCTTCTTGTCATCTTTGTTCTTTCTTTTAATTTGGCAATGATTTTGATCTGCACAAGCAACTGATTGAGAAATGACTCCCATACAGATAACTAGGCATTTCCTGTCAGTTAAAATGAAGTCAATTTCATTTTCTGAGATTGGCATTCTATCAAGGGAGAAAGCATGTACATATATAGGTATATGCAAACTAGATTTTTTAAAAAAATAAAATGATGGGAAGGAGGCTTTAGTAGCTAAAGGAAGATGAGAAAGTCCTTATGTAGAAGGTGACACCTGAGCTGAGTCTTAAAGTAACTAGGGATTTTAAGAGGCAGGGAGAGAAAAGGACGCATTCCAGCCTTAGGGGACAGTCAGGTCAAAGGAAGGTGGCCACGAAATAGAGTGCTAATTAAGAGGAATAGTCAACCTTAAGTATGACTTAACCATAAAATGTAGGAAGGGCAGTACAGTGGAATAAGGCAGTCAAGGTAGTTTAAGTACAGGTTGTTAAGGGCTTTAAATACTAAACAGAGTTTATTTCTGATCCTTGTTTGTTGTTGTTTGTCCTTCATTCTCCAAGAGGACCAATGACATCAGAAAGGTGATGTCATGACTTGCAAGTAAATTGGATTTAAGTGAGGCTGGGCTATACAGAGTCTACAGCCTCACTCTCTCCTCCAGGGACATCTGGATCCAGTGGCAAGATATAGATCAGGACTACTAGAGATGGTCCAGACCTTGGCCTTTTAAAGCTAAGGTCTTTCCCAGGTCTCACTTGAGGCAATGCCCATTCCGTGATTAAGGCTAGGTAAGAAATGAGGCAAAGTTTTTTACCTAGTTAAAAAAAAATCAATCTGGGAGGGGAAGACCCTCAGGGTTTCTGTCCAAAACAGAAACAATTGCTATTTACACTCACTCTGAACCATCGGAACCCAAATAGTGCTATATTTCCCAGTTTCACAATAATATGTTGCATATGGAGTGATTAATTTGTGAATGAGAACACAGGCCTTCTTCACTGAATCTGTAGGAGATGTGTTGGCAGGTCCATAAAACTAGCCTGTTCTGCAGGAGCAGAAAAGGCAGTAGTGTTAGAATTGTTTAAGGAAAATCCTTACAGTATTAGAAAACTATGTTTATCATTAAATAATAGCCTTGTAGAAAAAAATAGTTACATGCAAGATAATTTTTAAATACCTTTCTGCCTTTCTGGGATGATATTCTAGCCAAATGTACTTTATTATTTTGAATGTATTTTTTAAAAATGAAAAGGTCCTATATGTACAAAAATATTTATAACAGCTCTTTTTGTGGTGGCAAAGAATTGGATATTGAAGCGATGTCCATCAAATGGGAAATGGCTGAACAAGTAGTGGTATATGATTATGATAGAGTACTATTGTGTTATAAGAAATGATGAGCAAGATTGTTTCAGAAAAACATAGGAAGATTTATATGAACTGATGTAAAGTGAAGTGAGCAGAGCTAAGAGATCATTGTATACAATAACAGCAATATCGTACAATAATCAGCTTGAGTGATAGCTATTCTTAGCAATTCAATAATATAAGACAATTCCAAAGGACTTATGATGAAAAATGCTATCTACCTCATAGAAATGACTGATAGAGTCTGAATGCAGATTGAAGAATATTTTAACTTTATTTTTCCTGGTTTGTTATTTTTTCTTTTCCTTTCTTTCTTCCTTCCTTCCTTCCTTCCTTTCTTTCTTTCTTTGGTCTGTTCTCTCTTTCAACTAACATGAAAATGTTTTGCATGACTACACATGCATAACATACATCACAGTGTTTGCCTTCTGAAAGAGGAAAGAGAGGAGGAAAGAGAGGGAGGAAATTTGGAACTCAAAAATTATTAAAAATTAATGTCAAAAATTGATTTACATGTAACTGAGAAAAATAAAATAAAAACATTTCTAAAAAGAAAAAATGCACTTAACCTTAATAATATTAAGGCACTCATTCAGTAAATATTTATTGAGTGGTGTTTCTCATTTATGATGGAGCATAAAGATCACTAGATTTGCAGTCAGAAGAAATGGCCTACCTCTGCCTTTTTACTACCTGCATGATCATGGGCAATTCATTGCAGCTCACTTAGTTTTAGTTTGCCTACTTGTAAAATCAATCAATCAATATTTATTAAGTGCTTATTATATGCCAGGCACTGTGTTAACCTCTGGGGATACAAAAAGTGGCAAAAGATAGTACTCGCCCTCAAGGAGTTTACAATCTAATGATAAGGGGATTTTCCAAGAATCGTTCCAACTCTAAAGTCCTGATTCTAGTAAGGGGAAGGCATTATTAGAAACTAAGAGATATTTAACAACTCTATTCAAAATGCATTTATTAAATGTAAAGCATTGTGCTAACATGACAATATGACAAAAATATGATCTATTAGATAAAAGAAACAGCATCAATCAATGATGCATTTACTAGTATGGTATCAAAACATCACTACAAATGTCTCTCACTTTTCAGGATAACACAATATGAAGGATATTAACTACAACTTTATTTTTCTGAACCAAGATAATAACTGGTGTTGAGGAAGGCCACGTCTCAAAATTTCAGAAATCTAATGCTTTGCATTACTGATGATATTCTCAGAAGTGTTAAACACATGGCCTGAGGGCTATATGTAGTCTACAACACTTCCAGTGCTTCAGGAACCAGATTAAAATACAATTAAGAAATATTTAACGATAAGTAAAAATATAATAAAACATAGAAAATGTTAATATGTGGTTCTCTAAGTCAATATATGCCTGCAGGGATCCTTATGTATCTTTCAGTAGCCACTGTTTCTATTAGGGTGTAATACCACTATAGAGGATTCAGCCACAGATGGATATTTTGTGTCAGAGGGACAACCCCTCTCCCATAACACTATAGTTTTTGCCTACAGATAGGAC